TCCTTTTTCTCTGTCTTTGTCTTTGTCTTTGTCTTTGTCTCCTTTGTCTTTGCTTTATTTTTATTTTTTTTTTCTCTTTCTCTTTCTCTTTGTCTTTGTTTTTGTTTATCCCTCCCCACTTGCAGCATTCCCACCGCCCTTTCCTATTTCTTCTTCTCCTGCTGCTGCTGCTGTTGCTGCTGCTGCTGCTGCTGCTGCTGCTGCTGCTGCTGCTGTGTGTGTGTGTTCCAGGGTCTGGACCGTGTGTTGGGTACTCCGTGGTACAGTGTATGCTCTGTCTGCAGCGTTGTCTTTGTCTTTGATTTATTTTTGTCTTTTCTTTATTTATTTATTTCTCAACTTGTGCGCCTCGTTGCTATCAAACAAATAGAAAACAAATCTATCTTCAGGGACCTTGCCGCCATTGCTTTTACTCTTAAAGGTAAACAAATACACAGCTAGCTGGCTAGCTAGCTAGCTAGCTAGCTAGCTGTATAGCTAGCTAGCTAGCTGTATAGCTAGCTAGCTAGCTAGCTAGCTAGCTAGGTAGATATGTATATAGCCTGCAGTGGTTCAGGGACCTTGCCGCCATTGCTTTCACTCTTAAAGGTAAACATAAATACACAGCTAGCTAGCTAGCTAGATAGGTAGCTAGCTAGCTAGCTAGCTAGCTAGCTAGCTAGCTAGCTAGATATATAGATAGATAGATCGATAGATAGATATGTGGCTAGCTGTACTTCAGGGACCTCGCCGCCATTGCTTCTACTCTTAGAGGTAAACACATAAATACACAGCTAGCTAGCTAGCTAGATAGCTAGCTAGCTAGCTGTATAGCTAGCTGTGTAGCTAGCTAGCTAGCTAGCTAGCTAGCTAGGTAGATATGTATATAGCCTGCAATGGTTCAGGGACTTTGCTGCCATTGCTTTTACTCTTAAAGGTAAACACATAAATACACAGCTAGCTAGCTAGCTAGCTAGATAGGCAGCTAGCTAGACAGCTAGCTAGACAGCTAGCTAGACAGCTAGTTGTACATCTAGATACACAGCTAGACATACAGGTAGACTTTTAGCTAGCTAGCTAGCAAACTGGGTAGCTAGCTAGCTGGNAGATACACAGCTAGACATACAGGTAGACTTTTAGCTAGCTAGCTAGCAAACTGGGTAGCTAGCTAGAAAAATAGCTAGCTAGCTGGCTAGCTAGCTAGCTAGCTAGCTGGGTATCTCTGTGTGCCTCCCTCCCTCC